CAAACGTGGCTTACTCGTAACCATGGGCCTGCCGAGGTTATCATGGATAGAGGACGTGAGTTCCTGCGCAGAGGTGAAAAGACCTCCGGGATAATATGGACTTCGTCGCAAGCTCTCACTAGGTAACCTCAAGCAACCTATGGTCGAGCGTGCTCATCAAACATACGTAACTTGATGCTGTCAAAATCCATAAGTGCCAAGATGACCTCGTGAATGGATCCTGGGATGGAGTCCTCATGGCGGTTCGCTTTGCAATGGAATGCCACGATTCATACCACCTGCGTGCAACGCCCGCACAGCTCGTGTTACATCGTGACGCGATTCACAACGTTCGTTTCGAAGCAAACTGGAAAATCAAAGAACGTCGCCAACGACTAATCTTAACAAACAACGATAGGGAAACGCGAACGCGGTCCCTCAATCATACAAGGTCAACGATATCTGTGATGATTCAACAGTATCAACACCCAAGTACGGTCAGCCAAAGTACAAAGGTCTTACACTATAGACGAGTAAATGACAATGGCAATGTAGGCCCAAATCTACCGCCAAGCGCACAGTCTACCAGATTTGGACATAAGGTATATACACCATACAAGGCCTGATCCCTTGTAGGATGCCATGGTGCGACGCACATGTCTACATCCAAATCTCATGAGAGTGCCCCGCACTTTAAATCATATGTTCTCCTCGTCCGACTGCTGTCGCGCCTTCGTGACCCTTGTCAGGGGGCGAATGCAAACACGGCTCTTAGCCTTATCGCTACTGGATCCTAGATAGGGTTTAGTTCGACTCATGACTGATTCTTCGTGAATAGTCATTGAGACATGGTTCTCAATGACCGCACTGTCATTACTAGGTTGAATGATGAAACATCGCTCTAAGATATTTCCCAGCGTGGAGTACTTCCCAGCTACTAGATCCAGGCTAGAACAGACCTTCCACGCGTTCCGTTTTAGGATCGTGGAGAGACGTAGGCTTACTACCACAACCTACTCTATCACACTTTATAGTCTCCCGCGGGAAGCCAGATCTACGATCCCTCGATGATGATCTCTCTCGTTGATTAGTTTTCATAGCTTTCTAATCTCTCTCATAACTTTCATTCTCTCAAACTCAAAACACTCGAAAGATCTTTACACTAGCTTTTAGCGTAGTGCACTCATGCTCACCTGATTTCCAAATCCAGTATCAAGCTTGAATGGATTGATGTTTCCACACATCATTGGCGATTGAGACCATGGCATATCGATGTCCAGTTCAGTCTACACCGCCAGTCAAGAGCACAGTTTGAGTCTATGAGAATGCAGCCGGAACTTCCTAGTTTCCAGCTACAGCAATACCAAGTGACCGGAACTTCCCAGTCCACGGTTCAACAAGTGATCGGAACTTCCCAGTTTCGAATACAGCAACATCAAGTGACGACACCAACCGCCACAGCAAGTCATACAGGAGTGGCAACACTCACAGGAGTGGTAGCCACAATGGCTTTTCATGACGACACTGTCCACATGTCCACATTGACTGTGACAGATTTGTCAGCATTGCTATGGATGACAAGCTTCTCGCCACCAAGCGGAATGCCGAGCAACCTAGCAAATGGTCTCTTGACCAACAACTGTTCCTTATGGAGCAACCATCATTACATTAATTATTCGTTCCACGGTATCCTTTATGGAACCGTGCAGGAGTGTGTTGGAGGTTGTATTACAGACACCTCAATACAAATTACTCGTTTATCCCAATCTAGTTTAGCGGGGATATCTATATCTATTCTCTAGTTACATACATGGGGAGTTTAACTGATCTATATGGTCACCCCCTTCATAACATGGAGAAAGATCACTTCTTGGAAATAGTGAAGGGGGTGACCATATAGATCAGTTAAACTCCCCATGTATGTAACTAGAGAATAGATATAGATATCCCCGCTAAACTAGATTGGGATAAACGAGTAATTTGTATTGAGGTGTCTGTAATACAACCTCCAACACTGGGCCATGTCCTGCGGAAGGTAGCCCCTATGAGGGTGGCATGCTACCCCACAGCCATGGCCGGTGCCTGGGTACCTTGGGCTCAACCAGTGCGACACAAACACTAGTTGCCCAGGCAAAAATCCGTCTTGGACTTGCCCTTGAGGGCTGCAGTCACCACATTGCCGTCTGGAGAATCTAAGGCGTCCCCGACTGCTGGGTCAGCTTCGCTCTTCGGATCCACCAGGTCTGACATCTGGGTTCGACGGTGGGCTTCCATCAGGACTCTCTTGTCAGCGACAGAGAGCCTGTACCAAATCTGGCGTCCATTGCTGGATAGCTGAGACCAGACGTAGTCAGGAAGGCGTGGAACTTTACACTGCTCCCCATCACCCTGATGTCTCGTCTTGCCAATGTCGGCTATGTTGGCTAGACGTGAGACATCATCTCTTCGGTTGATGTCAAAGAATGTGGCGGCATTCAGTAGCACCTCCTTGTACCCATCGTATGTAAACGATGCATGATGTCCCTCACGACATACTCTCTCATGTTCACGTGCAGAAATGTCGTTCAAGGTGGGGACACCGGTGAAGGCCCACTGTAAGAACAGCTTCTGTATACCATCGGTGAGCCTATCACTAGAGTCTCCTTGGCCATCATTGTATCGGGTAACAACTGTGTCAAACTTGACAATGAAGTCTACTGCGGAACCTTGCTCCTCTGGGCTGTATTGCACACTAGTCAGTCATTTGAGTGTCTCCACATGATCCAGAGAACCTGCCACAGACAAGTGATAATTCCAGCGTTGGTTTTATCTGAATGACTAAATTAATAATGACCCAGTACTCAAAACACGTAGAAATCTGCGTAGAAATTACAAGAATAATAAAAGAAAACAATAAAAAGATCGACCATGACGAACGGCACGACCAATTACACCATGGAAAACACACCGATACACTTTACAACAAGAAAATCACTACTATCAACACTTATGAACCTAATGGAATACTGGAGCTGATGCTCCCAAGCCCCCAATCCAAAAAACCGAGCAAAATGACCCTTCTACCATCCAATACCCATAGTGGCAACAACCTGAGGTCAACAGAAATCCCCACAACGGAACTTCTTCCATTGATTCTTTCCATGCACTCTCAAATGTGGCAACAACCTGGGTTGAGCAGAAATTCCCACATCGGAGTCTTCATGGGAAAGCAATCGGACAAGACATTGTACCAGAACGGAAGTCAACTACTTCATCATCAACATTAATACCTTGAGCAAATCGACATCCCCTCCATTCAGCATTCACTGTGGCAACAACCTGAGTGATGCAGAAATCCCCACAACAGCGCGCTGGATTGAGAATAAATGTCAACCACTTCAGAACCACTGCTTCGGGCAGCAATACTACGATTATCTTCGGTGCAACGGCAGCACCTCAACATTTTGGATCATTATGCACACTTCCCTTGAATGAGCGATGACCCAGGGCGCAGGATGTAATGCAACGATCGGGGCAAGAACCTGCTACCATTTTCTATTTCCTTTCTCTGGATTTATTTTTTATTTTTGTACAGTCCTCATGCTACACATGAGAAACCTTTCTACTTGAACAGGCGGCCAGTAGTGCCGCCTGTCTTTCCTAGTGAAGTAAAAGCATGCCTTCGGCGCAGTAGAACATAATTCTACTAATCTTTGTGTCAAACTCAAACTTTCCTACCAGTGTTTCGGCTACCTTGGTGGCGTGGGGCCAGCCTGTCACAGTTTCTTCAGCTTCCTGTTGTCTAAGTACCCCATTCGTCATGGGATGTCCGCCCGTGCACACCGTATGATGAACACATCCGTTTTCGCAAAGAACCAAAGCAATGGACATATTTTGAAGAACCCACGCCCCGGCAACCATTACTCAGTGGCATCATACCACCATGCATGCGTGCGCCAAACCACCATTCGCAACCTAATTTTCAGAATGATTGTGGAGCTCGACGAAAAGGAACAGGTGACCACAAAGATTGGATCTGCCTCCAAAATGGTACATGATATATCCACCCTGTACCGGCACTGGGTCATTGGCGACTTGGTCACAGACACTTCTTCCTTTACCCTCACCGAGCAAATATTCCTAAAAATGCTGGAACCCGTCTTGCAGGTCTATAAAGGAAGTGTGACTCCTGGATGCGCTTCCTCCTTCTTGATTCTCTCATCGAAACTGAAGTACTTGGATGCCAGCAATGAGCCCACCGACAGCAAAGTGGTGAGCTGCAAAGGCCAGGACGCGGCAGCTACTGGATTGGATAATGTTACAGGAGCCCGCCAGTTTTTGGAACACAACATGGACGTGCACGTTGTGGAGGTCCCAAAAGATATGTTGTCTGTAATTCAGATTCTTGTCAAGAACCAGATCTATTCAGTCCCATACGACTATCGCGACGATACAAGTGTTTTCAACGGGATCAAGATGCTGCCTTACAGTCCCGCTGCGAAGTCGCTCCGTGTTGCCAGAGCATACCAAGAGGGCTTTCGGACGGAGGAGTCAGCTCTATGTACTCTCCTTGGGTATAAGAAGCTCACCAACGATCAAGGCAGAAAAAACATTTTGAAACTTCGTAGCTGGTGCCTCCAGACAGCCCTCCACAAGGCAGTCGGGAAGGAGGCGCTTATCGAGGACTACCATCTTTCGATCAAGCAGATTACCGCCACAGTACCTTTGACACAGACTTGAAGGAGGTGAATGCGAGTCACATTGAGCTTACTCCAAACTTCCTAGCGGATATTCAGTTACTCAAAGGCAAGTTAGTGTTCATAGAGATCCCTCTGGACCAAAATGGGATATTTGGGAGGCACCACAAAAATGCTCGAGATTTGGATGGTCAGCTAACTTACACCAAATACGGCAATGCAGTTGTCGGTCCCATGTCACTCTCACGTGAGGTGGGATACATCACCCATGTTGGGGGGAACCGACACCTCCGAGTGATGATCATACTGGTACCAAAAAGCGCTGAATCTTTTGATCCCAATGAGATGCTCGGGGAGTCTGGTCTTTTGCAAAGCAGTATGGCACGTATCTACCCCCACTTCCACTATGATTCCTTCTCCAATTCACAGGATAAGGACCTCCCCCCGAACATTGAACGATACCTCCGGCTCATCCACCCCCATGATTACACCCAACTGCAAAAAAAGGGAGAAGGGGATGATAACGGGGAAGAAGGAGACAATGAGGATAAGGTAGAGGAGGTGGGAAAGGAGGAGTCCGAGGATTCCATTCTCGATGACACTGACGGGAGCCACGATGGTCTTGATGATAAGAAGAAGCCCGCCAAGAAAAGGGATGATTAGGATGAAGCGCCAGAAAAGGATGATGCGAGGAGACTACGCAAGCAAATAATGGTCTTGGTGATGAGAGGAGACCAACGGAGAAGTTTGAGCTCAACCAAAAGAACAAAAAGAAAAGAGAAATAACATGGTGTTTGTCTACTTATACTACTATGAATTCTTCTACTCATTTTTAGTTCTCCCTTCACGTAATCTTCATGGTTAACTCCATTTCATCTTCAACGGATGAGCAGGACGACTTTTGCTTTGATTGCCTTCCTGTAGCCTCCCGTTTTTTATTGACACTTCCGTTAGAGTCCCTGTTTGCTTTTGTGGAGGGCAGATCATTTTGTTTTCTGACCACCTATACCGTCTCAGATTGTTTCGGGATTACAGGACGGTACAGCTCTTCATCTCCCTCCTCGTCAGAGGAGTAAGACAATTTATACACTTTGTCTCTCTCTGCATTGCTCCCTCCTCTCTATCTGATTCTGAACTTCATCGTCGCTGCTATTCATTGTTGCTGTCATCCCTGCCCGAACGTTTCATATTACCATACAAGTCGACTTTCAACTCCTCCAGGTTACCGTCAACCGTTTCATCTTCATCGCTTGATTCCATGTTAGCTTTATCGTCAAGCATCCTCTTACCATACACATCTACTTTCAATTCCGAGGTTGAAACAATACAAACTGGGATGGGATCCATGATGCGATACCTTTTCAAGAAAAGCCTGCAGTGTTCATTCTGAAGCATCTTTTCCAAAGCCTTTTGCTTGTGAATTGATAGTTTCTTGTCAGGGTGAAGTGATTGTGGAAGCTATCACGAATCTTATGGTCCCAAGCAGTGGCAATGCATGTTTTGAGGTGACAGATGTCGCAGTGGCTAGCTATGATGCCATCATCCTCCTCCTCCCTTGCTCTGTCCATAGCTCGGCGGCCTGTACACTATATTGCCCTCACTAGGCTCGAACTCAGATGACTCTCTTGGGTAACCTTCTACTGTGAGTTCAGCCTTGATTGTTTAGCTCTCCGCTGCTCCGCTGACTAGACTCCTTCCTCTCCCTTGTCTGTGCTTGGCAGTCCTTGACCTTTGACCACTACTGCATCGTCTTCTCTATCACGTCTTTTCCTTGGAAGTTTCCTTTCTTGTCATGGTTTTCTTGCTTCTCTTCTTACTTACTATTAGCACCCGAATCACACTATCAAACACATGGCCCATCTTCTCCATAAAAGGATTCGACTCGCTGTACAGGTTTCCGGAGTTGAAATTGGAGCGTGGTCTTTTAGGTTTCTGGTGGCCCCCTATCACCTGGAGCCCTCAACTTGTTGAGCTTGAAACTCAAAGCAAAGGTTAAGGTATCTTCTTCTACGAACAGAGGGCACCCACTAAATCAAGATCCCTGAGCTAGCATTGGCATACGTTCTGCATCAGCACACTCACTATCCAACAAGAACCAGGGAGTGGCATATTTATTCCTTGTTTTTCGTTTTCGTTTGTCCGGACAGGATTTTTTGTGAGACTGACCACATTTTCAAAAATCTCTCCCCCTTCCCCCATCACTTTTTTCAAAATAGTTTCATGCAACGGATTGCTTGAATTTCTTGCAAACGAACCCAACCCTTCAGTATATAGAAAACAGAATGACCCCAACCAGCCCCAGCCCCAGTAACTGCAACGAATATTTTATATACGCAGAGAAGTATGTACTGAGAGAGCAAAGAACGGCATGTTACCTATGCATGCGTTTAACGACTACATCCACAGTCAAAAATATTAAAGAGACATAAAATATGATTTCCTCCATTATGGTAAGGACTAAACAAACTGCAAAGCAAAGTAGTCAACGGACAAACATCCCAGATTCACGGAAAGCGCTAGCAAGGCGGCTCCAGGAAGGTCCCTCCTCAATTAAGGTGTGTGTCAAAAACGACAGCGCTATCCCCAGAACTGTGGCTCTAACAGAAAATCGAAGGTACCAAAGTCAAACGATCTCCTAATCAGGAGAATGCCCTTTCAGCGTCTTGTCCAAGACATAGCTTCTGATATTAGAAGAACATCAGGTTCCAAGGGTCTGCAAGGAAGCTTCCAGCAAGCACAGAAGCCCATCTTGTGGAAATTTCCAATGTTCCAACATTTGTGCTATCCATGCCAAAGAATCACCATCATGCCAAAGATATCCGCTAGCCAGAGGATTCGAGGTGGAAGTTTTAGGTACTATTCTAGACCTGAAAAATTAACGTATAAGATAATATGTGTTCTTTGTTTGTTGCCTTCTTTCGTGACATACCCATATGTCTTTTGTCAGTCAGCCTTGACTGTTGTTTTTTGGTTTGCGTGAGGGCGTAATTGTTTTCTTTTCGTGTACTTTGTGAATGTGACAACTCCTCTTCTAGGACGGTTAACCTGTGGTTATAAATATATATAGGTATACATATATAGATAGTAGTATACCTGGTCTGCGCAAGGATCGAATCATGCGCCTGCCATCCCTGTCATGCCAACTCGGGTCACATACATTCTGCGGCCTGTTCGAACTCATTACTTAGCCAAAACTCTGGGAGTTCACTCTGCCCCTTCTGTAGAGTGAAACTACAGAGCAAATTCATTGTTTGGCAGAGTTTTTCGTTTCCAGTGTAGTGAAAACGTTGAAAGAAAACGGAGCAAGCGCTAGGGCCTCCGTTCGAATCAAGGAAGAAGGCTCGGATGAGAGACACATGCAAGGAACACTTAGTTTGTGGAAAAACTACGATGACGGCATGTACGCATACATGCTTCGAGTAAGACTAGCCAAGGCGGATGGTGCACCAGTTGTTGTTGACGTTTGTTGCAACATTTCTCTTCCGAGTTGCGAGTGGCATGCTGACAGGCCAGTTATAAAGAAGAGCCGACACGGCAACCACCAAGCCCTTGTTTTCACCTTGCGATTCGAGAGCAACACCGAAACTGAGCTTCGCTCACTCCGCATCCAACTTCCTGTTGTTGATGGTGACGATGAGCCAGCTCGGCTCATGTTTGCTGCAATCAGCTACGCCAACGGCAACCGCATTGTCTAATGCACTCATTACAATTCGCCTTTCGAGTTATTCGCATAGTTATTAAAAGTTATTAAAAGTTATAAGTTGTTGTACTGTTTCTTCCTTGTCAGCTTTGCCGATCCGTTGCATATGCCATAGTTGTTAGAGTGCAGCTCGAGCCTTACCCATCGTCCGCAACACTCTCATCGTCATCCTCTTCACAATCGTCGTCCGCATTGATGCCAGCAACCTCTGCTTCTTGTTGCACTGTGTCTGTTGCTGCCCAATCCTTAGTGCTGTTAAGGAAGTCCTCACGTTCGCGTCTCTTGGCAATGATTGGGGCGATGGAGCCTTCCTTTTCATTAATAGTTTCCTGAAGCGTTGTAATCCTTGCCATCACTGCGTCCTTGGTCAATTTGAGTGACTTCAACCGTGCCGTCTCTTCCTCAGCTTTAGCTTTGGTTGAGTAAACACCAACTAGCCTTGCCAAAGTTGCCCTCTTTCTTCCTTTAACGACATCCCATTTCCAAAAACTGCTTGGTAATGCTAACTGGAGCTCTTCGACACTCCTGAGGAGTCCTTTCATCTTGTCTACTGCGTCAACCGCGGCTTTTTCTTCCTTTTCGAGTGATTTCATCTCAACCTCCTTGTTGGATCGTTGAATCAAGATGCCAATGGCAACACCAGAGCGACCGAGGTTGGTTACTTGCCCAGGTTTCCGACGTCGCTTCTTCTTTGCTTTGTTGCCTCCATCGTTTGCCTGCTTTTGTGCCATCACTTTCATGAGTGTTGTTTCCATCATTGCACTTACAGCAGTAACGTCTGTACCAACTCTTGTCACGGTGATATCTTTAGTCACATCGCCTCTTGTGATGCTGATTGTATCGGTGAATGGCATCAAAGCAACCTCTTCGAATTCGGCGTACACATCGTCCATATCCATCTCTTCTTCTTCTAAAAGAGCAGTCAATTTTTGAGCAAACCTCGGACGCTTGTTGGCTAAGAGTTCATTAATCTGCTGCACATTGAGCATCCGGCGTCTCGCATCGGCCTCTTCCTTGGCTTCGTCATAGAGTGAATCATTCAAGCGCTTGCGTGCCATCCTGACTTTCTTTTGTTGCTTTCGCTTGTCCTGTTTTGTGAGGGTATACGTCTCATCGTCTCTGGCATCATAACAAGCCTCAAGGACTTGCGAAACTGTGTATTGTTGCATCTGTCGACTCTCTCGGCGCTCTCCATCAAGCACAATGAATTTTCCTTTCGATTGCTTAGTTAGATTCAAAGTTGCTCCACTGCTGTCATCTCGCTTTCTCAGCACAATAGAGTGGCCAAATTTCAATATCGAAAGCTTCGTGCGAAGCTTGTCACGTGCGATTGCTTCTTCGGACAGCGTGCACGTTGTGTCAATGTGGTTGTCGGGTGTTACAGCAACGAACTCAATTAGCTTCATTGCAGCAGCTTCGTATGGATAGTCTTCTTCTGGTGAAGGAGGACGGTCCAAATCCCGTGTTGCTTCCATCGTGTACTTGCCAAGCATCATGTCGCCGATTGCAACTGCTAGAAACAGCAAAGGAATCTCAATTGGAGACGATTCTGCTGTGCCATCTTTGCCGAGGAGAAAGTTGTCAGCAGACAGGAATCCTTTTAGCGCGTCTTCATCTTCATTGGATAATGGCTCTCTTTGGTCGATAGCCTTTGCCTTTACTACCCAAATGATTGTTGGAATCTTTTCACCGGCTTCTCGTCGCTGTTCTTTGAGGAGTTCATTCAGTTTGCCAAAGCACAAGCAAGCATGTGACCAACCTTCATTTCCGTAGTCGATGGGGTAGAGTCCAGTTTTTCGAAAGCTGCTAACGACAGCATTGGTTCCTCTCCGACGGAGCTCATCATTTTGTTCAATGCAATTCTTTTCCAAGCCACCACGAAAGACTTTATTCGCATCAAGATAGTCCATGCTCTTGCCGGCTAATAGGCCAAGATTGTGGGCAACAGTTGCAATATCCTTTGCTGTTAGCTCATTCTTTCCATTGTCACAAGGTTGAGACCAAATGCTTGACTTTGCCGGAAGAATGAATAAGAGAATATTGTACTCAAAGAATGCTGTGATCAACGATTGTGGACACTCTCTTGATCCATGCCAGTCGAGAAAGAGAACAACACCAATGCCGCCTTTGCCCTGGTCGTGTGGAAGATTCTTTGCGAAGTGAAGGATAAAGTCATAAAACGTTCGCTTCAACATGCTTCCAGTTGGTGTTGTTCGAATCTGAAAGCCAAATGGATTGACAATGTCATCCTTCTTTCCTACTTGATAGCCGTCGAACCAGCCTTCGAGGACAGCCGGATTGAATTCAATCATCGAGTTGGCTTCACTTTGGTTTGCCAGGATTCTATCTCGCTCTGCTTTGTCCATTGAATCCAAGGCGCTGCTACTGGAGGCGTCTGAAATGAGAATATATGGAGGCGGTGCTCCTTCAACACACTCGTCTGGGTGGCATTGTGCTCCGTCTGCACGCACAATGTTGGCGACACTGTAATGAAAGGTCATTTTGCCATCACCCTCTCGCGTGTTCTGAAACAACCGAGATCGATTGAGCATGTCGTTGGGTATCAATACTGGATTTCGCAAATGAGTTGGGTTCGGCCCCTGCTCATCCGTGTTGTAGATTCGTGTTGGTGGGATATTGGCATAGCGGTCTTCCGGCCACGCAGTGGGGTTTATCTCATGACAGAGCTTTTAATCCATGCATCGAGTTGATGGTATTGGGCGTTCAGGATTTCTGGGTCCGCTTGAGCGGCTCTCTTTGGATCGACTGGATCGACGTTCGTCTTGGCTTTCAATCTTCCCTCTTTGTAGATTCGTTCCACCGTATCCATGCTAATGCCAGCAGAACCAATGTCGAGGGATTCGGCGTGGAGGAATGCGTCCGCATAGGATTTCAAATCTGCTTTCTCGAGTGGAAATCCCATTCTGGCAAACATCGCGACACACTCGCAGAAGAGAGCATCTTCACCCTTATCGAAGTACGAATTTGAGCTCGTAGAAAGGTTTCTCCCATGTGGCGTGTTGTTGGTATTAACTGACGGATACGCATCCTCCAATTGTGCTTTCAAATGTCCATCACTTGGTGATAAGCCATCATTCAAACACTTTTCTAAATCCAGTTGTTTCCAGACGTCTTGGATGCGTCGGTAGCAGCTTTCAGATTTCAGCACCTTCGTGCAATATGATCGCACCGTCTCCTTTTGTTGGTTGCTTTTGGCACTCGAGAGAAAGGTGTAGATGTTTATCAACAGCTCTTTCCAATCAGCATTTGATCGCATCTCGTTTTTGTTCTGTCTCACACGAGTGCGAACTTGCTGGGCGCTGTTATCGGCTGGTGCTGAGTTTTCTTCGATTTCTGGAAAGTGAGAGATAAGTTTTGCCATCAGCTCTGGATTGGTAGAAGCAACACCTCTTGAAAGGAGCTTCTCGAAACCCAATTGTTTCCATTGATACGCAATTCGTTTGTATTGCCCGTCTTCGTTTGAATTTTCGTTGCTTTTCAAACAATAGCTCCGCAAAGATGTCTTTTCATGCTTCTGCCGACTCTCGAGAAGACCTTGGTAGATGGCAAGAAGGTCTTTTCTCCATTGTTCATTTGTCCTTGTTTTCCTCGTGAACGAAGAACGCTTTTTCTTTTGCTGATCTTGTCCTTGTTGTTGTTGTTGTTGTTGTTGTTGTGTTGGTTGTTTGTTGTTGTTGTGTTGTTGTTGTTGTTGTTGTTGTTGTTGTTGTGTTGTTGTTGTTGTTGTTGTTGTTGTTGTTGTTGTTGTTGTTGTTGTTGTTGTTGTTGTTGTTGTTGTTGTTGTTGTTGTGTGTTTGTTGTTGTGTGTTGTTGTTGTTGTTGTTGTTGTTGTGTTGTTGTTGTTGTTGTTGTTGTGTTGTTGTTGTTGTTGTTGTTGTTGTTGTGTTGTTGTTGTTGTTGTTGTTGTTGTTGTTGTTGTTGTTGTTGTTGTTGTTGTTGTTGTTGTTGTTGTTGTTGTTGTTGTTGTTGTTGTTGTGTGTTGTTGTTTGTTTGTTGTTGTTGTTGTTGTTTTGTTGTTGTTTGTTGTTGTTGTTGTTGGTTGTTGTGTTGTTGTGTTGTTGTTGTGTTGTTGTTGTTGTTGTTGTTGTTGTTGGTGTTGTTGGTGTTGTTGTTGTTGTTGTGTTGGTGTTGTTGTTGCTGTTGCTGTTGCTGTTGCTGTTGCTGTTGCTGTTGCTGTTGCTGTTGCTGTTGCTGTTGCTGTTTGCTGTTGCTGTTGCTGTTGCTGTTGCTGTTGCTGTTGCTGTGCTGTTGCGTTGCTGTTGCTGTTGCTGTTGCTGTTGCTGTTGATTTGGGTGGACGGCTATGGCTGCTAAGGGAGGTCGCACTGACTGCGGAAAGAAGCTGCGATCTGAGAACATGGCTAATCATTTCCTTGCTCTGGCAATGACAGAGCCACTCATCTGCTGTTTCCATCCACGGACAAATTCAAATGAAAGATCCGTTTGTTGGGTTTTTGAGAGAAGCAAAGCCTTCATCTTGATGTCAATGGGTCTGAGGAACAATCTCTGGAAGCCCGAAGCGAAGACGATCTTGCTGAAGTATCCAGCATCATTGTTCAGCGACGGCAGGAAGGTAATGCGATGTCGCCATCTTCGATCACTTTGCTCGGAAGGCTGAAATGAAGAAACATTTCGATATCGATTGCTATCGGCCAAATTCGAAGGTTGATTCGATCGGATGGAGTGAAATTGAGAAGATCGGCCGGATTGGTCGCTTTAAGTACGTTCATCTGGGATGTTAGAGAATGTTAAAATTCCTGTCACCAAACTTCGTCTGACAGGACTATTAAGTAGAAAAGATTTAATAGACATGACTTTTTCTATGAGACGAAAATGTCTTGTTCATGTGTCTTGTACGGCTTGTGCTAAGAGGCACGCTGACACCCCATACCATTGAAAAGGAATTGCTTTCCATCGTCGAAATTTTCAAAGAGTTTCGGTCTATGTTGCTTGGAGCTCGCATCAATGTGTTTACTGATCATAAGAACCTTACTCACAAACTTTCTGCTTTCCAAACTCAACGTGTTATGAGATGGCGATTGCTTTTGGAAGAGTTTGGCCCTACATTTCATTACAAGCCGGGCCCCGAAAACGTTCTTGGCGACGCCCTCAGCCGGGTGCCCACTTCTCGCGAAGATCGTGACACTACCGATTCCGATCCCCTCTCCACATCTAGCGACGGGTGCTATTCCATTGTGGAGGAGAATCAGAGGTTGGCTGAATGTCTGATGCATCATCCAGATGATGGTATGGAAGAGTCTTTCCTGGAGCATCCTACATTCGACGGTGAAGGACGGAATCCCTTCAATTTCTCGGTTCTCGCCGAGTACCAAGCAGCTAGTGCAGCTTTGCAACAGACCGTGGTTGACAACCCGGAACGATTTTTCAAGAAGATGTTTGGAAACAGTGAGCTGATATGCTTTCGTCAGAATGACGAGAACAAGATTGTTCTGACAAAAGAGTTGCTTCCCAAGTTGGTCAGCTTCTATCACAAGTCCATGGCACATGTCGAAGGCATGGATCGTTTAGAACAAACGATTAAGACACATTTCTACCATAGAGGTATTCGCGACGAAGTCCGAAAACAAATTGAGCAGTGCGAAGCATGTGCGAAGAACAAACCAGCACGACGTGCTTATGGAGAATCTGCTCCACGTGATGCTACGGTGATGCCCTGGCAGGAAGTCCATTGTGACACAATATGTCCATGGACGATTGAGTTACGACAACGAATGTTGACTTTCAACGCCATGACTATGGTGGATCCTTGCACAAACTTGTTAGAGATTGTGCCTATCATGCGACGAACGTCGGAAGAAGGTGCTCGAGTGGTCGAAGATACGTGGTTTGCTCGGTATCCCCGACCTCAGAAAGTGGTCACAGACAACGGTCCGGAGTTCAAACTGGAATTCATCAAGATGGTGAAAAAGAACGGTGCGGTGCATCGGTACTCGACCCCTCGTAATCCACAAGGTAACTCGATGATTGAACGGACTCATCAGGCAATTGGTCAAGTATTGCGAACCATTGTGGTTTCGCGCGATCCCAAGAGTGTGGCTGATGGGATCAAGGTCATTTCCGAAACCTTGGCGATAGCAATGCATGCTCATTGTTGTTCCGTGCAGAGTACGAACGCGTATCTCACTCCTGGTGCTCTTGCCTTCAAACGAGATAGGTTTCTTGGCATTCCTATTTATGCAGACATCCTGACCATGCAACGACACCGTCAATCCTTGGTTGACAAACGATTGCTGCGGGCCAATGCTAAACGCATCTCCTATGACTACGCGGTCGATGATCTGGTCTACAAGCGTGCGTATCTCGGTCTCAGTGATAAGTTGAAGCCTACGGCTTCTGGTCCCAACCGAGTTTCCCGTGTACATACCAATGGCAATGTAACGATTCAGCTCAGTCCTCATCAGTTCGAGCGACTGAACATTCGGCGTGTGTTTCCAAAGCATCCAGCACCTCCGGTTGCCACCGGTACGGGTTATTGAGGTTCCCCTGATTCATTTTCTAAATGTTACTGATGCTCGGCGCCTCTTGTTGCCTCACAGTGGAGGAGAGTGACATACACACGTGTGTGACGTGGCGCTTTAACGCTAGTTTTAAGTCTAATCTTACAATATTCCGATCGTAGTTCAGCAGTGGGTGCTGGGTGTCATTCAGAAACTGTGAATTCTCCTCAAAAAGGGTTTCTGGAGAAACATTAAACCTACGTGCACTCAATTAATTAATGCTACGTTCCCGATAGAAACAAGTCCTTCCTTCACTTACTTTACACTTTAACGGCGGACATGGGGCTTATCTTTTTAGTATATTATTAATTAATATCAGCAACCCAGAAATCAGACACTCAAAAGCTCTAAATAATGTCAATCAGTACAGGAGCATGTACCGCTTCAGTGATTTAAGCCAGCCGAACCGTTATCCAGAAGGATCGAGAGAGATCGTCGAGTGTTAGCGGATTACACGTCCATGGCCGGAAATTCAACATAATCCAACAACGACATGGACCATGACAAACTCTCTTCCAACATCAGGCTCCCAGGAGCCTCCTATCATACGGTACACCTCCATGGCCAGTCGGAACCAAGCTCATCGCGGCCAAACACGTCGCCAGCAATCTCCCATTAGTGTAATAACGACAAATTTGTGTCCTCGCTTTCTGCTAACAAAACCAACAGTGAAGAACAAAACAATGCTGGCCAGGGCTACTTCCACGCTCACAACGAGCCACCATGACGCGAATCCCACCACCATGCTTGCTCCGAGCCACTTTTAGTCGCCTACCGTACAATCCGCGTTTGGTTGTTGCCGACGCCTCCACGAAGCTCATTTTGCTCTCGAAAGGTGCCATTGCTTCCGTCGAAGCTACATCATCTATACTGTACTGTACAGACCAAACCAGCGGGAAACACGGCAAACTACTCCTCAATGACTACGGTGTGAAACCGTTCTTGCCAACGACAACAAGTCATCCTTGAGTGCCGACTTGCATCAAAAAACCATTTTCTGATCATGGAAAGTTGACAACCGTCCGCAAGGTGACACTTTCGCCGCAATGACAATTCCATTTCCTTTGTCAAGGCCACACCTACAGCAACCAGAGCCAAGCTTGTTTGTCAAGGCCTTGTCGAGTCAGTTTCCAGTGCCTCCAACGATGGTTGCCGACAGTATGAAAGGACCCGTTTTCAATGGAAATTGGCCTGAGAATTCCGACAATCGTCACAACAACTATCTCATCCAAGGAACCCATTTTTGGATTCTTTCAACAGCTGCAACATGACGGCAAACTAGGGTACTCCACGATGACTGACTACGGTGCAGCACAATCCACTCGACACAACAACAACAATGACGCCTTTACAAGGATCCACCAGCCACCTTTGGTCGCTGACTATTTGTGACGACGAGCGACACCTAAAAAAGGAGTCCAGTTTCCGCTACGGTGATGTGATGTGAAAACCAGCCGAGCTCCAAGACCGGAGATTACTTTCTAAAGGATCAAGGTGGTGTTGTAGAAAGATAGCGTATCAGGAGCGATCCATTGACTGAAATTGGCTCGACTAGACTAGCTAGGGAAAGGAAACAGAAGCACGGTAAAGGGGGTGAGAGAGCTCTGGCAGCGAGACTGCGGGGGGCTACTGGTAGTCTACTAGCTAGAGCTGGGAAATCGTCAGTCAAATATGCAACTAATTAGCAGAGTTTTATCAACTGGTTTGCGGTTTGCAGCCCTCCCGAAACGATCTCGGAGCACCAATCTTGGACTCCTGCCCAAGTTGAATTCAATCTTCCCCATACAACCGGCCATCCCAGCCAAAGTGCTCTGATGCAGCTCCATATAAGCTGTGTGGTAGGAAGAGACATTGTGGGTAGAGACCCTTTGCCGGAAACAACTGGACTGCTCGGTCGGCTAGTATGTGCGGGAAATATTGTAATCACAATATTATGGAACAGCTACTTCATTTCTGGGTGCGCAGCTGCATTTACATAAATCGCAGCGTATGGATGCGTTTGAAGTGATCAACATCACAGGGCAATCCAGGTCAATGAAAGTCATATTGATCCAGCACCCCCCTAACTCTTCTGGAAACACATCAAAATTTGTGACGTTGTCACTGTCAGAGTTGATCACCAGGCCCTCATTCCCTCTCACATCCCATGCAAACAACTCTGGCAAATTGTCTCCATTTATCTCCGTCGGAATTGTTCCGGTGAGCATGTTGTCATCAAAAAATACCTGAGTTGCGGTTGAAAGGAGCCCAAGCTCTGAAGGGATCGGGCCATTTAAGAAATTGCTGTGAAGGTCCAGAACTCGAAGGCGGTTTGTGAGCAGGCCGACTTCTGTGCAAATTGTTCCAGTGAAATCGGTGTTATAGGCCACAAATCGTTTCAGCATATGCAACTTTCCAATCTCCGATGGAATCTGTAACGGGAGGTGGAGCTAGTTGTGAGTCAAATGGCACCAGAGCTGAACATGGTACAAACATCACCCACTTACCGTGCCTGACAAACCATTTGCCAGCAAATCAGCTTGGAAGTCCCACATGTTAGTAAGCTGACCAATTTTGGTAGACAGTGTCCCTTCCAATGGAATTTCAGAAATGTAGAGAGTCCTGAGGTAGGTGATATTGTAGAGTTCTTCTGGAATTGTACCCGTAAACATGTTCTGATCCAGCATTAATGTCATCAATGAGACATTAAGCAATCCCAGCTCAGAAGGAATGCTTCCGGTAAATGCATTGTTGGAAATGACCAGGAAAAGAAGCTTTGTCAGCAGACCCAGCTCCGTCGGCAGAGTCCCAGTGTGAGATGAAAAAGGCAGAGCAATGAATTCCAAGTTCGTGAGAACCCCTATTTCAGTTGGGATGCTGCCCCTCAGTTTGGGGTTCACATAGGTGGAGATGCTCCGCAAGGACTGTAAAAATGATATTTCCATCGGAAAAGTTCCATCCAATCGATTTGTGTACATCCATAGATGTTTGAAGGAAGACTCAGTAGTCAAGGTGGCAGTTGTGGGCACTGTCACATTGGGTGGCAACTCACAGGGGTTCTTATTGACCATCTCGTCATAGCCTTGTAGGTAGGTAATTTGATCATCTGGTTGAGCAAAGGCAATATCATTTTTAGCGAACCAATGGCATTCGTGGTGGTTGTAGTCCAGCCATTTGTCATTGTTTCCCCAGGTCACATTTCCATTGGTAGAATAGTAGAAAGTTGCCAGAGCAAATCGCTGTAGAAACCGTTGGTGATCTTGCAGATATGTCTCCAAAGAGGGATCTTGGAGGGTCCATCTGAGTGCCTGACTCTGGGGAGATGCCGTTGTGTTACTGTTACCATCTCCAATTGCAGCCCTGGCAGTAGTGTCAGGAAGCACAGTCTGGAGAATAAAGCCTCTTGTAGTGAATACAGTTGGCAGTGCTGTTGGTGGCACTGTTGGCATGGCAGTGGCCTCTTCTGATGATGGGACCCCATTGTTTTTGATGCCCACAAAAAGGCCCACAACTGTACAGAGAGCAGCAACCAAAAGCAATCCTACTCCCAGTGGCCTGTAAGGAACTAGCTCATGATTCCTAGATTTTGGTTCCACCGCTCTTGCTTCTGTCAGAACTTGCTCAGGGTCTTCATCATCCACAGCTCTGGCTTCCACCAGCCCTCCTTCCTGGCCACCAAAAGGCTGTACACCATTATCACCAGCACTACTTGGAATAGTTCTAACTTCCCCCACATTAGAAGCCTCTGGTTCGTTCTGATGAGAATTCACTCCAGCAGCTGCATAGGCCCCTGGTTCTAGATTTGTCTGGACATTTCTACCTCTTTGAAGTCTAGTGGATGCTGGTGGTTCTGGTGCTTGTGTCTGTGATGGTCCAAAGGTTGCTGATCCAGTGATATCCCATGGTGCATTTGCAACATGGCCTTCTCCCCGGTCTTCCTCGTCTTGCTCAATTCTATTGTTCTCTTCCGTTAGTGTTGGTTCTGGTACTCCTCCCATCGCATAGGCACCTGGTTGAACCAAGGCTATGTGATCGCTGTTGTTTCCAGCAGCGCCAGAGGCAGCTCCTTCTGGTTGTGCCTCCGCTGTATTTGCCAGTTGTATGTTCTCACGAGCAACAAATAGATTTGGAACGTCATTTTCTACAGTCTTCCCTGTTGCACCAATATGCCGCTTCTTCTCCAGGCCAGTGTTGTTGCTGGTATCCGTGCTAGACCCACCAGATTGGGCATCGATTGCAGTTCGGATGGTTTCCACCTCCTTGTCGATGGTTTTTGTGGTCGCTACTTGAAGTGCTGCCGCTCCTTCTATGACAGATGGCTGTTGTTGGTAAGCTCCAGGCCGGGATCTCCGTTGGATATTTGCCACCCCTATCTCGATTGTTTGGGTTGCATCGAGTGTATCAGTGCCAATGGTTTCAGCTGAGCCATCGGAAGAAGGTTTTGATTTGTTCCCAGCCGTCAAATTGAATGAGGTTTGGGCTTCTTCCAGCTTTTCACGGTTGTTGAAAATATCATTAACCAGCTTCTCACCTTCATCTTGGCTCTGACTCTGATTACCTTCCTCGCGGTTGCCACTACCAGCATGGTCCTCAGATTCGCTTTTCTCCATCGTAACTATTGCAGAGTTGCCGACCAGGCTGGGGTGTTAGTATTATCTTCAAAACGTTTGTCGTTGTGGCTGCCGGAGGCGAGGGTTGGAGTGGGATCTCGAGATCCATGACTGCCGCAACGGAAGAGGTCGAAAAGGTGGGGGAAAGGAAGGTCATTAGAATGTAGGTCCGGGCCGTTCTTCTTTGAGCGCTGTCCCGCGACAATTTGGCTGGCCAGAGAATGACTGGACTGGACTGGACTCGACTCGACTCGATGTCACTCTACACGACTGAGGACTCGACTCGTCACCCCCTTGCCAGAGTTAGTTAGTTTCACTCACAGGCCTCATGAAAGAATCCCGGAGCATCGGTCCGGACAAGCCCTCTGGCGCTATTATAGTTTCCGTCACTCTCTCGTCGGGAGAACCACGCCATCGCAAGCGCCGTTACATGGTACAGTGTAGCTGCGCAACGAGTAGCGGAGCGAAAACAAGCAAAGGATACTGTCATCTTTTTGCTTTGAATTGAAACTGCTGAAATGCAGATCCATTTTCTAGCTAGAGGCCATGTTTCTGCAACTGCAATGTCTCTCTAGCTGGTCAATTCACTGTACAAGTGTTGCGAAACAAGAAGAGCATCTGATATATAATGTTGCAATTACTTCTTTTTCATGAATATGATTGCAGGAAGTATCAAACAGGTGCTTGCTTTCTCAGATACTCTAGAGTACGCTGCTCCACGATCCATGCATGATCCATCTCTTTTTGTGTTTGATTGCCTAGCCAATAACTGCCATCATACATCGGATGCATGCTTGTCTCGTTGCGGTTTCCATCAAACTCGCGTCGTCAAGTTTGCGTGGATATCTTCGACTTCTTCGGATGCACTCTCCATGGCAGTTTGCAAGGCACATAGATTGTTCATCATGG